GACTATAAGTAATTATCAACTTTAAAATCCTTGTTTATTCTGATCTTGACAGTAACATGAAATATTCCAAGCATCATCCCAATAGCTTTTTGTGTCGTAAGATTCTGTTTTCGTAATATCTTTGCTGTGCAAGCTTTCTCCATTTACATGTAAAAGGCTGAAAGCTCCCTCCTTTAAAATATATCTTTCAATGTTGAATAACCTCACTGTATGAACTAATTTCTTTTGAAAAGGACTTTTTTTATGTCTATACAACTATATATATATAAGACTATCTGTGGCGACCCTACACAGTCAAATGTTCGAAAATTTGCCGTGAACCAAATATATGGGTGCTAAACATGTCGCCCATGGCGCAACGGTTCTATGTACCATGTCACTTCATTATTATATACATATCATTAAAATAAAGTGTGGTTAACCTTCTGTAAGATATTGTTTACGGAAACTTTTCTTGCTTTAACAGGTATATATAGGAATACAATGTGTTTTTAATAAATAAGCACTTTTAGTCTCCATTTACAGAATGAACTAATGGTTCATAAGTGTTTGAATAGATTGCTTATTGACATTTTCAATAGAGTGCTAGACACAGGTTCCAAAATTGTTTTTATAGGATCAACAAATATAAAGTTTGTTTGTTTTGATTTCACGCAAAGCTACATGAGGGCTATCTGCGCTAGCCGTCCCTAATTTAGCAGTTTAAGACTAGAGGGAAGGCAGCTAGTCATCACCACCTACCGCCAACTCTTGGGCTACTCTTTTACCAACGAATAGTGGGATTGACCGTCACATTATAACGCCCCCACGGCTGAAAGGGCGAGCATGTTTAGTGTGACGGGGATTCGAACCCGCGACCCTCAGAATGCGAGTCCAGCGCCCTATTCACCTGGCCATGCCGGGCCTAATATAAAGTTTTAAATCCAGTTGGCGTAAGCCTTTTTTCAATTTGGATGTACGGCTCTTTCTGATTCACATCGGTCTCTTTTTTTTGTCATATATACATATACATCCCTTCACTTCCTTCGTTTTGCACGTTACTGCTATACAATATGCCTTTGGTACGATAAAACCGTAGAAGAACAAAATGTATATGTATCTGTATATGTGAAGTAATTTCCGCTGTTAAAAGGTTTCGTATTCACAGAATGTAGCTTTTGAATTACCTAGACACACGCACACAAATATATATAGGGAGAGAGAGAGAAAGTTTTACAGTGGTGGGAAAACTATTGCACCATTCAATTTTTTCACACTTTTCTTGGTTCCTATTGTTGATTTTTTACGAGATTGTACAATGTTTAAATGTCAAAACTAGTATAAAACGATTATGAAAATTGTGTGGTGTAAGCTGACTCATATTTCAGTCATCCAAACACATATAAGTATTCTTATTAACAAAAAAACCGTGACAAATGTATCACAGTAGGTGATGAACAAATACTTGACAAATACGAAAATGTTCTCTGAATAAGAAATCCCAGATTTAAAGAAAAACGCGTCTAATGTAATTGACAAAATGTTGTCACAGAATCTGTTTCTTGTTTTAATATCTGGTTGTGCCCCTCCGGCCTTAATAACTGTTTGACATGGCAGTGGCATAGAATGCACGAGGGACTGAATGTAGGCAGAGGTGAGTTCATGATGCCGTAGATTAGGGCTTCCTGTAGTTCAAGGTGTTTCTCGGTTTATTCTCTTGCACTTGTTACCAATTACCTTCTAGCAGTTTTCTATAGAGTTGAGATCTGGGCTATTGCCAGGCCAGAGTAGTGTCTTGATAATTTCCCTTCCAAGATATTCCTTCACCTGAACCAATGAAAGAAAACCTAAAATGTATTTTCAATACATATAGTGTGAAATTTTCTCTGTTTCACGTCTACTGCATAGAGTGCATGAACATTACCAACCCTTTTAGCCCTGTTGTGTGGAGCAGAGTCGTCCTGGAATGTACACTGGTCAGTTCCACCAAAATTATACCGATTTGTTAGCTTTAACCGGAACTCGAGGATCTCACTGTACTTGTCAGCACTGACAGTACTTTTTACAAAATGCAGGCGCTCCACAACCTGGACAGAGATGTATCCCCATATCACCTGACATCGTGGCTGCTTCACAATTACATTCAAACACGCTGCTTGAAACTTGTCTCTACATCGACGTCATACAAAGTGCTTCCGTTCCCATCAGACGCGTGCAGGTTGAATTTTGATTCATCTGAAAAAATCACTTTATTTCACACTGCTTCAGTTCAGTCATCATTCTCTTTGGTGCAGTTGAGCCTCATCTTTCTCATCTTGTTGGTGAGGAGAGACTGTTGTTGCCGGGAGACTGGCTAACACAGGATAGTGCACACGGTGACAGTGACCTCTGAAGTTTCCAGCCATGCTTTCTTGAGATCTATGGACAACAGTCGACGATTCTGCAGGCTCATGCATTTAAGAAAACGATCGTCAGGTGCTGTCGAAGCTTTCTTTCCACCCCTTCCCTTACGCCACTTCACACAGCCAGTTTCTCCATATCTCTTCATCCAGTGGTCCACAGTAGACTGGTTAAATTTAATTCCACTAGCAACCTGCCTTGTCAAAAGTCTCTCTTTGCTCAAAGAAACAAAAACAGCGTTTTTTATGGAGTTAACTCGTAACCTTTAGCCATGATAGCATCACACGCATGTTGTAGCAGATAGGCTTCCAAACTAACTCTCAGTAAGAACCTCTATTTATAGCCGAAATACGGTTCATGCAATACATAGACAGCCTATAAAATTGCGGATGTAATAATTAATAGTATTGCGTCATCCATGAAACACATTTGCACCTGCACATTTGCACAAAAGACGATGATTCCGAAGAAAAGTGTGTAAAAAAACTAGGTGATGCAATAAATCTGTGCTCAGATTGTGAGTCGAGCGCCTTATCCACCTGGCCATGCCGGGAACAGATTTATTGCATCACCTAGTTTTTTTACACACTTTTCTTCGGAATCATCGTCTTTTGTGCAAATGTGCAGGTGCAAATGTGTTTCATGGATGACGCAATACTATTAATTATTACATCCGCAATTTTATAGGCT